TCTAGGTCTTTAATCCACTTCGAGTTGATTTTTGTGACTGGAGTGAGGCAATGATCTAGTTTCATTTTTTTGCATGTAGCTATCCAGTTTTCCCAGCACCACCTCTTCTGCTCATTTTTTGACTGGATTGTTTACTTTGTTTTTGTGGAGTTATGTGAGTTCTCTGCATATCTTTGTGATCAGTCCCTTATTAGTTGTATGACATGCAAACATTTTCTCCCAGTCAGTGGGTGTCTCTTTGTTTTGATTAATGTCTCTTTTGCTGTACAGAAGCTTTTTAGTTTGATGTAATTCCAGCTGTCTCATCTTTCCCTTCACTTTCTTTGCTTTTGGGGATGTCTTTAAAGATGTTACTGAGATATATGTCATGTAGAGTTTTACCTATATTTTCTTCTATATATTTATGGTTTCAGGTCTTATGTTCAGTTGTTTTATCAATTTTGAGTTGATTTTCGTGAGGTAGTGGTCTAGTTTCATTCTTTTGTTTATGGTGATCCAATTTTCCCAGCACCATTTATTGAACAAACTCCCTTGTTCCCTTGCATATTCTTTGCTCCTTTGTCAAAGATTAGTTGTCCATATATGTGTGGTTTTATTTCTGTGCTTTCTATTTAGTTCCATTGGTCTCTGTGTTTGTTTTAGTTCCAGGACCATACTGTTTTAATCAGTATGGCTGTGTAATATAGTTTGAAATCTGGGAATGTGATGCCTCTGTTCTTTGTTTTAGTCAGGAGAACTTTGGCTGTTAGTTTTTTTTTGTGGCTTCATATAAATTTCATCAGTATGTTCTATTTCTTTGAAGAATGTCATTGAGATTTTTATAGGAATTGCATTGAATCTCTAAATTTTTGGTAGATGGCCATTTTAATAATGTTAATTCTTTCATTTCACAAGCAGGGTCTCTCTTTCCATTTCTGTGTGTCTTCTATTTCTTTTAACAGTGTTTTATAATTTTCTTTATAGAGGTCTTTCACCTCTTTTGTTGGGTTTATTACTAAGTATTTGATTTTTTTGTTTTAATTATAAAAATGTTTTTCTTGGTTTCATCTTCTGATTGATTGTATACAGGAAGGCTACTGATTTTTGTGTTTTGATTTTGTATCTTGCTACTTAATAAGTGGTTAATTGTTTTGATTGGTTTTCTGTGAAGATTTTAGGGTTCTTTATATATTT